TAATTTATTTATTTTATTATGTCAGTGGTATATGATGTAATATTTAATAAATTTGATGTTAATATTTTTTGAAATATACTTCTTTTTAATATTAATAGGATTATGAGACTTGACTTTATATTTGGCCTATAGAATTAATTAAGATGTCATAGAAGCCATTAACTCCTTACATATGTACTAAATAAAATTAATAATATTACAATATGTCTTAGTAGAAATATTAGTGAGACTTGACTATAAATGTTTTATTAGCCTATATAATTAATTAAGATGTCAGAGAAACAATACTTCTATGGGAACAAACTATAAATATTGGTAAGATTTAAATACTCATGAGTTATGACTTTTTTTTTTTTTTTTCATGAGTTATGACTTATGACAGTATACTATAAATTAAATTGCATAAAATACTGTCAATGATTTGCTTTTATATAAAAGTTGGAGTCGCACATTATTCAGTTTCTCTAAAAATAGGCAAACAAATTAATTGAAATCGATGGATGGACTTAGATTCTCTTATTTAATTCTGAAAGCTACATGGTCGTGGGAATGTTGCCTTCATAGGTGGTTGATGCTCCATCACAGTTAAGAGTCACAATCCTATACTAATATTTGGGAAGTACATCCTAAGAGTCATAACTTAGATTTTGTAAGAAATTACAATATATGCCATTAGAGATCTCTAATTATAATCATTTTATTCCATTTCACTAATATATATTAACGGGTCAACGGGTCAAACAGGTTTAAAGATATCAAAAGATTTTGTTTATATAATTCATATAATTCGAAAAACATTTTGAAAAAACAACACAATTCATATAATTCGAAATGTTATTGAAAATGTTATATAGTAATCCATTATTCAACATGTTTTCAAAAATGTAATTAAAAATATATTTATATATTGGCGAAAATTATTCTCACACATATTAAGTTACCAAAATTGAAATTCATATTAATATATACTAAATCTAAGTAGTTTCTATAACGGTTTTGGATCATTTCGAGTAACTTAAATACTCAAATTCAAATTCCATATAATTTAACAAACAACAATCAAACAAGTTAACAAAATATATTTAGTTCCTAAAATATAGTATCATTAACTATTAAATCTTTATTTTGACGTAAATTCCTATCCACGTAATTTCATTGGTTAATATTATAATAAATGTTTCTTTAAATATTGATATGATTATCACACAATAACTTGGATTTAGGAAACAATAAATATTTTCCGAAATCTGATTATATTTTGAAATCTTAACATAAATATATTGCTTAGTTTACGCATATAGTACCAAAGCAATATAGATACTATCCAAATTATATCTTAACTATATATTCTCATCTTTTAAATTTTAGCATACTCCACAAATGTTAAATTAAAACTTTAATTTGAAAATATATTATTTTAGATTTCATTTTATCAAATCTAAAATTTCTACCGATTCTCTTATGCCTATAAATATAGTAATCCATTGAAGCACTCACATATCACTCAAACTTTTAGAGCAATTTTAAAGTTTTTTATTACGTTTCTCAAAACGATGAATTATTCACCTACATGTACGTTAGATAGACTATTGAATGATTTTTTTCTATTGTATGAGTTTGCTTCTACTGACAAGGCGATTTTTCTAATCTATTAATTTAGCTGAATTTTTTAATTCTTTTTAGCTGAATTTGAATACCTTTTATTTTGTTTCTTCTCACATTTCTTGACTTGATGATTTGTTTCAGATCTACGTCCAAAGAGTCTCATCCAAAGTCTGATTCAATGAGCATGTGTATTGGGAATCTAGAATTAAAAAAAAATCAAAGTGAAACACTCGAGAAGGTTTTGTATGTTTCAAATATTTGTAATTCCTATCCACGTAATTTCATTGGTTAATATTATAATAAACATTTTCTTAATTTTTGATATAATTATCTGCATACATTTAATATTATTTGGTTAATTATTATTTTAGGTATTATATATTGGCAACCAACGACGTTGAAGAGACAATGAAATAGTAAGGATTTTATGTCAAATATTTTTGCATGTTATGTAGTCTCCCTATAGAGAAATTGTTAAAAATGCCCCTTTTGAGATACCCCTTTTCAAAAATACCCCTTTTGAGAGTCCATTTTTAAGTTTGTCCTCTTTTAATTTTTAATGACCATTTTACCCTTATTTAAAACAAAATTAGGTCCACAAAATACAAAATATTTTTTGGCGGGAAAAGTGATCCCGCAAATTTTTGGCGGGAAACGTGATCCCGCAATTTTCCCGCCAAATTTTTTTTTTTTCGGGAAAAGTGATTTTGCAATTTTTTTGGCGGGAAAATTTTTGGCGGAAAAAATTTACAAGGTATTTTAAAGGTTTTATAGAGTATTTACAAGTGTTTTGTAAGGTTTTACAATGTATTTTAAAAGGTTTTATAAGGTATTTATAACTTGTAAAACCTTATAAAAAACTTGTAAAACCTTATAACTTGTAAAACCTTATAAAATAGCTTGTAAAATCTTATAATATCTTATAAATACTTTATAAATACGTTGTAAAACCTTTTAAAATACATTGTAAAACCTTATAAATACCCTGTAAAAACCTTTAAAATACCTTGTAAATTTTTCCCGCCAAAAAAATTGCGGAATCACTTTTCCCGCAAAAAAAAATTTTTGGCGAGAAAATTTTTTGGCGGGAAAAATTTTTACGGGAAAATTTTACAAGGTATTTTAAAGGTTTTACAAGTTTTTACAAAATCAAATTTGTAATTTTGATGTGTGCACATTCTCATGTTTTCCTTATATATTTGTGATATCTTTTATTAAAAGAAGGGTAATTTAGTCATTTTGTACATAAAAAGGGATATTTTTAAAAATGGACAGCCAAAGGGGGTATTTTTGAAAAGGGGTATTGAAAAAGGGGCATTTTTGTGAGTCTCCCCTCTCTATATATGTTTTTCAAATAAAATATTATTAAAAAGTAAAATAACAAAATGATGTTTAGTTTCACAGGGGTTATATGGTAGGACGGGTTGGGGTCGATATTAATATGGAACGGTATACCACGGGTAAAATCGTAGAACTAACAATCAAATACAATTATACAATCTTAAACACACTATAAAAAAATAATATTAACAAAAAAATTATAACTTAAAATTTAAACTTTTTAGTTACACAAATATCGACATGTGGTGTACCGTGGAGTAAAATCCAACTTTATTACAAATCAAATACAATCAATCATAAGATTATAAACAAAAAAAATTTCTTATCAAATATATACAACACAAATAATCAAATTATAAAAAAAAAACAGAAACAAAAATTTATTATCCCGCGGGTCATATTCTATGATACTGACCAAATACATTTGGCACTGAGAAAACAAAACCCAATATAGCCCACGTAAAAACTTTAACATAATACAACTATTTTTTTCTCAATGACACAATGCAATTATGAATACCTAATCGAACCAAATAAATTGTTAATCACATATAAACAAAAATACAATTCTAATGCAGCTAAAAACATTTTATATACAATGCTTTATTACTTATGGCATCACTTTTATACTATATATACTATTATACTATATTATTACTTATTTCTTCAAAAAAATATACAATTTGATTCATACAAAATATTTAATCCCGTGCTTTATAGCACGGGTCATGATCTAGTATGTAGTTATTATTCAAATATTTTGTTGATAAAACTAACATCAAAATGGGACATTATATGTAAATTAACTCGTCTTTCCGAGCCTTTGGTCTCTTCTATTGACAATAATATTTAAGTGTCATAAGTTATACATCCTCCTAATGTTTTCTTATTAAACAATTCAATTCTTCATCATACTAATAATTTGTGTATGATTTTATTAGCAACACTAACAATTACAAATTTCTCTAAACTTATTATATCCCCAAAAAAAAACGATGGTAAGTTAAACATTAGATGTTTTTTTTTCTTGACGACCAACATCAGATGTGTTTATGTTTTTAGGTAAAAGTGTTATACATGTATTCAGGATCTAAATGATAACACATATGTTGAATAATTGCTGAAGAATTCTTTAGGAATGGTGACGAAAAAAAAAATGTTACTGCATTTGAGGAATGGAGAAAAATTTGAGGGATGGACTTTAACAAAAAAAAAAAAGAAATTGTTGAGGAATGGAAGATTGACGATTCAGTGTAATTGATAAATTTGGAGGTATTTTGTGAAAAATATTAAACTATATTAGAGTATTTGAATTTCAATATTCGAAATGGTTAGTAAAAATATTATAAACAAAAAATAAAATAATTTAATTTTATGAAAAAGTAAAAAAAAAATAATTATTTTTAATAGCTTATAGTTTTATATGATAATTATGTTTGATAAAATTATTTAATATCTTCACTTTTAAATTTTGTCAAAATACACCTTTCATTTTTTTACGAGTTGCAAGTTTTTCAGTAAAATTCCATTTTTATGTTTACTAAAATTTTTAAATCTCAAATTTAATTTTTTTTATGTTTCTACTTTTTATTAGTGTATTTAGTTAATATTTTTGACAAACAAATATTTTACTTATTATTTATACAAGTAAGTAATTAACTTGTTTCAAGAAAAATAAAAACTCGCTTCCATGCTTTCGCATATCCACTTCTAATTTCATACAGTTTAGACCAAATTGCTCTCTAAAAGAATATACTTTGATGGAAATGTATATATGAAAAATTCGTAATCATCTAAAATATCTTTAAATCCTACTAAAATTCCTCCAAATCTAAATTTCATTAAAACCTTAGTCGAATACATATACGAGCGGGTATGATTTCGGGTTATCCAGTTCCAAACGGTTCCGTACAAAACCAAAACGACAAAGCCTTTTGTCGTTTAGAATCTATAAGTCGCAGAGAAAAGTCAACATTAGAATCAAATCAAAATCAAAATCAAAATCAAAATCAAAATTTAAAACCAAACCCTAAATATCACAAAACAACGATGTTGATCTCTTCTCTCTCGTCTCTCCTTTAAAGTCGATTCTCTTAGAATGGAGAACCACTTTGATACATCGAAACTGATTCGTGTCTCTCTACACGAAGTTGAGAACCAGCTCGAACTATCACTTCGTCAAGCCTTTGAGTCTCTCCAGCCGAAACTACGACCACCGTTTTCCTTAGAAATCCCAGAGCCACAAGAGTATCTTGAGCTCAATAAAGCCATCGTCTATGGAGTTTTATGCGAACCCAGTTCCTCTAAAACCCACATCAAGCACTTACATGCTCTCGTCACTGATGGGTATGCGTTTTTCACTAGTTTACTTATTGGTATCGTTGTTGAATTGTATGTTAAGCTTGTTGATTCCGCTAAGATTCAGCTGATTTGTGTAACTAAGGAGATGATTGATGTTTCAAGTGTGGGGATTGAGGATTTGCTTGTGTCGTTGTTGCGACGAATTGGTAGTGGAGATTATGGTGATCAGAATGTTTGGCTTTGTTCTGAATTGGTGAGTTTGTTTCTTGAGAAATGGGATTGTTTGCTGGAAGATATGCCCTTGGTGTTGACTAGTGCTTTGTATAGTTTTCTTCGGTTATTAGCGGATCATTATAGGGTTTTAGGCGTTGCGAAACTGGAGAATGTGAAGAGATTGGAGATCAAACTCTGTGTTAAAATGTTTAGAGAGCAGTTTCATTTAGGTTTGAAGATTGGACGAGACCTTATCCTGTTGTTGCAGGATCTGTCTCATGTCTCTGAGTTCAGAGAGATATGGAACGATTTGGTGTCAAGCCATTGCTCTGACATTTACCAGTTGAAGACTTCAAGTAGATACTTCCTTCTTCGAATAACTCCTGAGATGGAAACACAATTAAGGTTTTTGCTTGGAAATGTGAAATTGGGAAGTCATAAGCGGCATCAGATGTGGTTCTTGAAGAAGTTTCTCTTGGGTCCTGAGAAAGAAACACTTTTGATCGACATAGTGAGATTCGTTTGCTGCGTTATTCATCCAACTAATGAAATCATCAGATCAGAGATCATGCCAAGATGGGCTATTATAGGTTGGCTTTTGGAACTGTGTAGGCAAAATCATCACATCGAACGAAGTGTTAAGTTAGCTCTGTTTTACGATTGGCTCTTCTTTAACGAAAGAATGGATAATATTATGAATGTTGAACCTGCTGCTCTCTTGATGGTATGGTCGATACCGCAGTATCCGCACATCACTCACTCCTTACTTGAATTCGTACTTCATCTTGTGGAAACTTATGAGATAACCAGTCGAGATATTATTGTGAGGGGTTTGACGTCAGCATTCAGAGAAATTGAGCGAAAAGGAGTTATTCGGTCGCTGGATATATTCCTAACAAATCCTGCACTTGCACCAGATTTGAAGAAGAAGCTAGCAAATCTGTTGTCATGTCATCACGAGAAGGTTCCTGTGAATCTCCATCAACTTAGTGTTCCTTCTAAGCAAACATTTCTTTCTTCAGAAGCTAATTTAAAAGAATGCAGCACCAAAATTTTTGATACTCCTGATCAAAAGTTGGACAATTCCGTTGAAAATCCAGCAAAACACGAGATTCCAGGTTGAGCAGTTTCGAAGAGTTTATAAGACCCTCACGGTGAACAAAAAACCTTTTGTCTATCTTGCAAATCTTGCATCAATCTTCAGCCGCAATGGAAGCTCAACTCTCTCTCTGCTTACGATCAAGACACTCGCACTTGAGGAGACATACCAATATAACACTTGGAACAAAGACGGAGAGGAATGATATGCGTGTGATTGCATCCCATGCCTCAGCGAGAACAGAGTTCTAGCAATCCACTATCTCAAGTTTACAAGATCATCAAGAGTTCTACAAACTCGAGGTTCACGACTAAGTATTCGCACTCCAAAGATTATAGAATGAACACAGCTTATTATATAGATGAACTTTCTCTATTTAATAGTTGTAACAAACTCTCGATAAACCAACATAATCTTTAACCATTACCGGTTCAATTAAAATTTTGGTTAAGGAATCTTAACCGTCGATAGCTCTCCTTACTGATATGATCCAACGGTTAAATAAAGCGTTATTGTGTTTACGAATACAACTAGACTAGAAACGCAGCGTTTTAAAATTAAAAGACTAGATCCGACCCATTAACCCGAAAATTGACCCGTCTTTGTTCTTCCCCAATTTCAATTCGCGTTCGATTTGAAACCTCAGCAGATCCGATTAGATTTCGCGTCGATGGCGTCAAATCCTCACAGAGGCGGTGCGGGTGGCTCCCTTTACGGTGGAGCCGCTCCGTACAGATCTAGGTATAGCTTTATTATCAGTTTCTCGTTTTGGAATTGATTTTGATTTCTTTCTCTGATCTTCTGGATAGAGAAAACTAGGGATTGATGAGACCAAGATTTGGTAAATTCTGCGTAAACTATTTGCTTTGGGTTTTGTGGCTGCAGAGAAGGGCTTAGCACTAGAAATGCTGCAGGTTCAGAGGAAATCCAGCTGAGGATTGATCCGATACACTCTGACCTGGATGATGAGATCACAGGTCTCCATGGCCAAGTCAGGCAGTTGAAAAATGTATGAAACCCTCTAAATTCCCAATTCTCTCTTTATGTTTACTCATCAGTGAGTCTCTGATTAATTAGTTGACTTACCAGTTGAAAATTCCACTTATTTGATGTCTTTTATAAACCTTCCTTACTTGTTGTTTTTTATCATACTTCTACAATGAATCAGTTGACATTCTTTACAATTCCTTGTGTTTTATCTTAAATTTTGCACAAACTTATGCCTTATGATTTTGGTTATTCCATTGATCGCATATTTTTATGCAGATTGCTCAAGAAATTGGGTCAGAAGCTAAGTTTCAGAGAGACTTCTTAGACGAACTGGTATGTTGATGATGTCGCTTAAGTTCTTTATTTATCCATCATAGTAAAGTTGAATGTAAACACTTTACATCAGCAACATGAATTTACTGTTTACATTGTAGGCGAATCACTTATTGAATATAGCATATCCGTATACGGGTTTTCTTTAACTTGTTTCAAATGGCTGTGTTCATTATTTGGGAAACTACAGCTTCATTCCCAACGTATGTTAGATAAATTTTGAACATAGCTTACAAACCAATGAGTCTTGATAAATCTACAGTTTAGATTATGTTCAGACTTATACGCAGGGCCTCGTCTGAACTCTGGTGGGTAGGAATAGATATCTCTTTCTTGGCTAGTTAAGTGAATGCACCAGGAGATGGTTTCAGCTTATCATGGAGTCTATCTATATCTGTTTCCTATTAAGGAGAGTATGATGTTGAATATGTACATTGCTCTTAGTTTGTTCGAGTTTTGCTTTTTGTTACCTAAAAAACATCAACTAGATTGTGTTGCGTGAGACTGCATTATCTGCTGTTATACATAATTACTCTAGGATGCAAAAAGCAAGGGGACCAAATGCTGTTGTCTGAATCATTTTTTTTTTGCGTGTGACAGCAAATGACATTGATCAGAGCGCAAGCCGGGGTGAAGAACAACATAAGGAAACTAAACATGAGCATAATCCGTAGTGGCAACAACCACATAATGCACGTGGTTCTTTTTGCGCTCCTCGTCTTCTTTATCCTCTACATGTGGTCCAAGATGTTCAAAAGATGAGAGACTCATGGTATTCAAAAAAAAAATCTACGATGAATGTTAAGATCAATCGGCCAAGAACGGAATCTAGCAATCTCCTATCTCAAGTTTTGAAGAATACAACAACTTTAGTGTTGTTTTGATAGTTGTAACTTGTAACTAGGACAGACTCGGATCAAATTCTCAGGAGCTCTCCATCCTCAAATTTTTGCTCAAATGCTCCTCTTTTTTTTTTAAAAAAATCTTTTTGATTTTTTTCTAAAATCGAAATATGAGAGAAAGACTTTTAAACCCCTTATGTTTAGAGTTAATTATCGATCCAACCAGAGCAAACAGGTAAAAAAATACATGAATTTTTTGAAATCGGGTCGATAGCTTCAATCCCTAAATTTTATCAAACCCCTTTATTGAAATTAACATATTCCCTTCGTCTTTTTTTTTTTCGTCGCAAAACCAGATCCGAAACCCAAATCGACATCTTCCCTTCGTATTCAAATAAATCACAAATTTAGAATATTTTACGCAAACTTGAAAACCATAAAATGCATGAAATTAAAGATATACATAGTTGTACCATTACGAAACAGAGTTTTACCAAGTTTTACAAAACCAGAGAGTTCTTAAAACAACAAAATCAAAGATTTTGGTTATGATCTTGGCTATCTCTCTGGCTCCGAAACCAGCTCTCCAAGTTTCCGCATGGAACTTGCTTATGCTTTAGGCGACGTTTTTTTGTTTTCACGGTACCAACATTAACGTTGTCAATATCTCTACCATTTGAAATCAGCTCACCATAATTCACACCAATTGAACTTCCTTTCTCTACTCTCGAGTGTTGCTCGTTTAACAGATTCATTTCCAAAGCATTGATGACTTCTACATGCAACACACTTCTACATTGCTCTTTATCCAACGAGGTTAGAAAAACATATACATCATCATCATTCAAAATATATGATTGTGTATAAGTTTTAACTACCAATGGAATATAACTCAATTTCAGCTTTGTGGTAGATTCATCTATCCCAATCTTCTTGCATATCCTATCCACTAATCCCGAATAAGTTATCTCTTCCATTGATGATTTCCTAAACGATATACCGTACAAACTACCTTCCCTTGGATTCCATGGATGCTTATCTCCGGTATTTAAATAATATCCTTCATAATCAAAAAATATGTTTATTGGAAGGTTGCTCATTCTCCTGGAAAAAAAAAAATTCTACATTAGCACCTAATGACTTGTAGCGGTTATACTATTTTTCTCACTTCTACGAGTTATACCACTTATAATAATTTTTTCAGAAATACCAGTTATACCAATTATATCACTTCTAACAGTTATACCAGTTATATTACTTGTTACAGTTATAAGCTATCCATTTTCCAAATTGATTCTCGGAACAAAAACACTAATCTAACTAAGATTAAGCTTCTACCCTCCATTTAAATGTCCAAATCGACCCAGAAAACATGTTTATCAACCCAATGTCCCTTAATTTCTAACACCAATTTCAAACCTAATTGAAATCTCTAAATTCCAATTACAACAACACCAAAATCGACTAAAAACTTTATGGATTTAAGGGGATTTAAGCTTTAAGAAAATATTAGAAGAATAAGAAAAAGGAACTGACCTGGAGATTTAAGTTTCACTTTCAATGATGAAAGAAACTGCTGAATTTTGGTTACTATCGACAACGTTAGGGAAAGGCGACGCTTTTGTCCCTAAACCCACCAGACTCTCGAAGACCGAAGTCGATAAACCAATCTAATCTTAACCATTACCGGTTCAATTAGAAATTTGGTTCAATAATCAATGCTTAGCTTGACCATGATTCGAATTCATATTATGTGATGTGACTAACTAGGCCCAATGGGCCTTACAAAAACTACGAAATCTCAAACAACCAAATTGGAAGTTATTAGTGTTTTTATACCTTCTCGTCTCCTCCAATCATGTCGTTTCAAAATCCCAGTTTCTTCTTCTCAGTGAAGAAGAAGCTCTCTCGCTGGTGTCCAAGCTGAATCTTCATCTTCATCGATTGTAATCTTTCTCCTCAAAAGTAACACCATCCACAAGGTTAGTCGCTAATTTCATTTTGATTCCTCTCTGCCTCAAAATATTTCCCTTCCTCTGCTAATTTACCTTATCTTGTTCGCATAAAAACCCTAGCTTTATATCAACTCCATCAGCAAGAAACAATGCAAAGTCTTAGTCAAATTGGACCTTCAGAGATTTTCCTTGTCGCCAGAAGAGAAAAACCCAGTACTAGCTTAGTTATTAGCAGGGCACAGCTTTGGTTCACGGGAAGATTGTCTTTTCGACAAGAAACAAATGGTTAGTGAATCAAAACGTTACATTGAAGAAATAAATTTTTAGATAACAATTTTGGTTTTTGGTAATGATGTTGTTTTACTTTTATAGGGTTTCGTTTAAAGAATAGAGTAGAGTTTAGTCCAAGACCTGTACCTCCAAATCTGATTGCAGCAGAGAAAGAAGAAGCTAAAGCTGTTTTAACTCTATTCTTCAAGAAGCAAGGTCTTAGCAACAGTCTCTCTTCTCGGTTAATCAACAAATCTGATCAATTCATTGATCATTTAGTCTCTAGACTCCATTCTGTTCATAAAGCCCGATACCTCGTAGGTTCGATCTTTCTTCTTTTGTATACAGTCAAATGAGAAGAGCTTGCTTGACCATGAACTTTTAAAGTTTGATTCTTTGGTTTTGAATTGTGTTACAGGAAGAGAGCTTACTACACTTGAGATTCGAGATTCTCTCATTCCTTATCTCGAAGAACTTCATGAAGAACACGGTGATCTTCTCGCGGAGCTTGTTGTTAGCTACCCTGATCCACCAGCTGAGACTAGACTTGTTTCTTCATCTTTAGTTCCTGTCCCAGCGCCTCGTGGTGACACAGATTCTGCTGCAGAAACTCGGAAACTCAGAGCTGTGTCTCGGGTTAGTGAACTTGATCCAGAAGGTGCATTACGTCCTCAGACTCTTTACCTTCTTGACCTTGGTTTAAACTTAGAGCAGATCAAAACGATTACTCGCAAGTTCGCTGCTTTTCCTTATTACAGCCTCGATGGTAAAATCAAACCTGTTGTTGAATTCCTTCTAGACCTTGGAATTCCTAAATCAGATATCCCTACAATCCTCTGCAAACGCCCACAGATCTGCGGAATCAGCCTAACCGACAACCTGAAACCGACAATGGCCTTTCTTGAAACACTTGGCATTGATAAGAATCAGTGGGCAAAGATCATTTACCGTTTCCCAGCAATCCTCACTTACAGCCGCCAGAAACTTACTTCAACTGTCGAGTTCTTATCCCAAACCGGTCTCACAGAAGAACAGATTGGGAGAATCCTAACCCGCTGTCCTAACATCATGAGTTACAGTGTCGAAGACAAGCTCCGTCCAACTATGGAGTACTTTAGATCGCTAAATGTTGATGTTGCGGTTCTCCTACATCGATGTCCCCAAACGTTTGGATTAAGCATAGAGTCGAATTTGAAGCCTGTAACAGAGTTCTTCTTGGAAAAAGGTTTTGGTTTAGATGAAATTGGGATCATGATATCTAGATATGGAGCTTTGTACACTTTCAGCTTGAAAGAGAATCTCATGCCGAAATGGGATTACTTTCAGACAATGGATTATCCGAAATCCGAGCTCGTGAAGTTTCCGCAGTTTTTTGGGTACAGTTTACAAGAGAGGATCAAGCCGAGATACGAGCTGGTGAAGAGAAGTGGAGTGAGACTGCTGTTGAACCAGGTTTTGTCGCTATCAGGAATTGAGTTCGAGAAAGTTGTTAAGAAGAAGATGATGAAGCTTTTGTCTAATAACGTAATTGCTGAACAAAGTAATGGTGGTTTGTTGTGAATGTTTTAGTTTTAGAGTAATTAATTTGCCGAGAACATTACCAGAGTTCCATGTGAGTCGAAGAAACAAACATGGTCACATACGTAAAAGCCAGTGAACACTTCAAAACATTACAAAGATAAGAGAGAAAGGTTGAAGAAAAAAAATTTCATAGATTAGACGATTACCACGGTTTGCAGGTAGCCAAAAACCGGAGTTCAGTGGCTTTGTCTTCCCATTCAACACCTTCCAACCATTTGTTTTCGCCGTATTTTACGACAAGTTCTACATCCGCAGTTCCACTCTTGGAATTCAATGGAAGCTTTTTCAGCTTTGGACAATGTTCTTGCACTGCGAGCTCACTCAGACGTGGAAAAGACAGTGGTGTCCAGTAGATGCTCTTCAGCTTAGGTAAATCAGATAAGCTAAGACATTCTAGTTTTTGAAAAGGAATGATAATATTTGCATTCTCGTCTGTAAAACTTGCAGCTTTTTCTTCACTGATTATATCCTCTAGTTGCTCTGCGAAACGAACATCTAGATAAGTAAGGTTTGGAGCAAACAATAGCCATGTCAAATCCTTTAGACCATCGCATTGTCCTATAACGACTTTGGAGAGGCTAGAGAAGCATGATGATGTTCTCGTCTCGATCTTTATCTCCTTCATTCCACACTTCCATATGCCAATGCGACGGATATTAACCATGGTTGGAAAAGTTAATATTTTGAATGATTCTTCCTCAACCTCTATAAGCTCTACATATTGAATAGATTTCGCCAATCTCTGAGAGCATAGCAAATGTTCCAAAACCAAACTTGAAAAGATATCTATGGTTAGAACTTCTAAATGTTCTAAGAGTTGTAGCTCCTTCGCTGAGTTAACATCTAGAGCCTTTTTGGACTTTTGTAGTCTCAATGTCCTCAAACTCAACAGCTTAGATACTCCGGCAATACTTTCCAGTCTCTTCATGGACTCCAAATTCAGATGTATTAGTTTTTTCAACTCTTGTAAACCAACCGGCAACCTCTCGATGTTTGTGTATGACAAGTCAAGATATCGCAAGGAGACCAACTCTGATATTTGGTTTGGTAATCCAATGAGACTACTACTCCATGATAAATCCAATACTACAAGGTTAGGCATAAATCGAAAGAATTCTCCGGAAATATTTACCAATTTGTGGTTTTTTTGGAGGAGGAGAGTCGTAAGTTCAGGACATGTAGGACAACCCAATATCTTTTGAAGCTCATTTTTCATCAACGACATCCTTCTCACGGCTCTCCAATTCTTCACTTCCGGTACTGCATGTAACCCAACACCGGCTCGCACAATACATTGATCTTTGTGCTTTCCAAGATCAGATGATATCCATAGAGCCATCTCACGAACCACATCATGCATTTTCACTTCTGCTTTCTTCCATCCTTCCTCCAACAATAAACATGTACGGACAAGGGTACCGATTATCGCATAGCCTTCATTTATCGCTCTCTCTTTACCGTCTTTTACATCTATATATCCTTCACATATCCAATAGTCTACTAACTCTTCTTTTTTCATCTCATAATCTTCAGGAAATAGTGAGCAATATAGGAAACATGATTTGACATGCTCCATATTTAAATTATCATAGCTATACTTCAAAATCGGAAGAATTTCGTCTTCCATGCCTGAAAACTCTATGGCGGATGAAGTTAAAACATCAATCGCGTGACGCCATTCTTGAACTGTGCTTTTGCATGCCATAGTTTCTCCAATGACATTAAGTGCTAATGGTAGACCACGACATTTTTCAGCGACTTGTTTTGCAAGTTCAGGAATGTCCGGATGGATTTTCAAAGTGTTTTCTCCCACTTTCTTTTGAAACAAATCCCAAGCTTCTTCAGGTTCCAAACAATTAACTTTCATCGGGTCATTGACTCCCATACGCCCACAAACATCTCGAGAACGAGTGGTAAATGCTACTATGCTTCCATTTTCTCTACTTGGATACGGAACTCCAACCGATTCTAAGTTCACTTTCTCCCATATATCATCCAACAATAACACAAATTTCTTTCTCCTAAGGACATTGTGTATGTCAACGGCTCTCTTGTTTTCGGTTTTTTTGTCCCACTCCTCACCCGAAAGACCAAGTCTTTTTGCAATATCTTCTTGAATCCTATAGATCTCTGGAGTTTTAGACACTACAACCCACATCACAATATCAAATCCACCATCTATTTCAGAAAACTTATTGTTGATTTGCGTGAGAAGCGTAGTTTTCCCCACTCCACCCATTCCATACAAACCCATAATCTTGAATCCATCTTTCATGAGAGAGTTCCACACCCTTTCAAGCATTGTCTCTTGACCAACAACTATAGATTGAATAGGCATATCCTCCACTTGAACTACCATAGCAACCTCAGTCACCACATCAAATTCTCCATGAGAAGAGAGACTCTCAACTTCCTTTAACATCAAGCTAACCATTTCCCCATAACGATAGCTCTTTCCAAAACTTTTGGAGCAAAACCCACAAAAACACAACCTCTTTATCTCAACCTCTCTAGTACTAACCATATCATTGAACCTTTTTTCGATACTCGCGACATTTGTAAGCCATACCTGAACTTGAGAAAGCCTTTGAAGACGCCCTATAAACTCTTCTCTATCAACCCTTCTTTTCACTTCATTCTCTTTTGTCTTGAGCACTTCAATGGCTTTCTCCAGAGCTGCTAAATTCTCGGGAAGGCTGTGAACATAACTTCTTCTAACGCATAACCATTGAGAGAACTGATTTACAAACTGATCACATGACACCGAGACCGAGATACAACCTCCCATCTCGGCTCAAGACAAGAAAGAAGAGATTGGATTCTTCAACTCACACAACGATCTCCAAAAGTCAATTTCATTGAACGTTGACTTTGGACGAATATAAAAGACTATACTCTATAATTGGGGGCCTTATGAGTTTAGAGAGGCCCAAATTGGCCCATTTTCTACTAAAGTTCATTATCAAATTCGATTCCCAAATTTGTCGATCGATAAACCCTAAAAGATCATCATTGGTTGGTTCTATCTGAATTACATCGAATCTTTGATCTCTGAGCATTTGTTGTTCAAAAGCTGATCTCTCTTTGTCACTGTAGAAATTCTCTTTGGGAAAAATGTCATCTGTTGGAACATCGAAGGGGGTTCTGGAGATCGTCAAGTTCGGTGTCTATGTTGCTGTTCCGATCGTCCTTATGTATACGTTCGCCAACAACAGTACCAATATCAAGAAATTCATGGGCAATGTAAATAAATCTTCCCTCTCTTTCACAAATTATCATCATTGATTATTCGAAACTGATAGGCTTTAGATTGATTACAAATTAGGAATGGTAACTCTAAACGCACTTATTCCCAGCGGTTAAATTACTACTATTACCAGTGATTTGCAGAATTATGCTTCATTTTCAGAATTTTAGATTCTGAGTAATATTTCTAATTTTAAGATCCGTTTGTGGATTAGGAGATGGGGTTTTCAATTAGGGATTTTGATGATTGGTTATAAATTAACTTGTTGTGCACTGTTTGGAATGGTAACTCTTAAATTGGTTAACGCCACTGTCGCTTTAAATCATTGTTACTATGATCCCAGAAACATACAAGATATGGTTCAATCCCCTTGAATAGTCAATGATTCTGCATCATCATAGTTTTCATTTTCTTCATTCCAAGTTTTGATGGTAGTCAGGGGAGTTTTCCCGGTCTGATAGATAGAACAAGTCTGCAATGTTGGTTTTGTGGTTCAAGGGAGCCATTTTCCTAACCCATTTTGTGTGTATCACCTGAGTCATTTTGCTAAAATGTTCATTTTAAAACGGGTACATACATGCATTGTTACTTGATTGTTGTTGAATCGTCTGCGTTTAAGTCACTGAAACATACCAAAAGCTGAATCGTCTACCGAGCAGTCTGCAATGGTGATTTTGCAGTGCAATGGAGGCATTCACTAACCATACCAAATTTGGCTGTTTGTTTTGCAGCGTTCATATGTTGTTTATCCTGAAGAGGCACCTCGACCTCCTCCACCGGAGGAGTTAAGAGAGATGGCACGAGAGCTTGCTCGTAAGAAGAACATCCCGTGAGTTTATGAGATGGAAATATACAAAATTTCGATGTTATTTGTAATAGTAAACTGCTCGGCGTAACAACTGGTAATAAGGTAATGACAATGTTATGTTGTTTATTCCTGTAAGATCATAATGGGATTGTATAAGAAAAGCAATAATGAAGAAGAGGAAGCATTTCTTTTGCTACATATTTTTTGTGATTTTGTGCACATCAATGGATGAAGTAAAACATTTTCTGATAAAATTACAAGTCAGATATACATAACCACAGCTTTATGTGTTTCAAGATTGTTTTATAAGGTTGTTTCCAGATTTGAGTTTGAATATTTCTTATTTCTCTAATAAATTTTTATGAAAATATCAACCAAATTCACTGTACTAAAGATTCTGACTTCTCTTGTTGAAACAATTAATCTTCTCTGAGTATCTTATGGATAACCTTTAATGGTGTCATCATCTTTTCATAGCTGTCAAATGTCAGTGCTTTTGCTTCTATATATCTATAATGGGTCATAGATTAGAGAAGTTAATGATGCTTCTCAGCTTTAAATTACTTTCTTTTTTCGTTCACATTTCTATTTGTATACTTATTTAATTTATTTATATTGTTTGTTCTCTTAATCAATTCCTGCAAGCTGTCTGATATTTTCATTTTAGCCCTTTTGGATAATATAGCAAAACGTTTAGGTAATATAGGCCAAAATTGACTTTGTTGATCTTCTAGGTAGAAAAAATAATCAAGTAGAAATGTGGTTTTTTTATGCATACCTAAGCAAGATTTTAGTATTTTTGTGAGTTACCTAAACCACTATGAATTATTATAATTTCAGAAATTCTAATATGTTAAGTAGCTTTCACATTTACTAAGGGCTTGACTGGTTTAATCGCAGCGGTTGCGGTTGCGGTTGTGGGAGTTTGCGGAAGCGGGCGGTTGCGGTTTCAAGCGTTATTTAGCGTTTTGACCGACTGGTTTAGCGGTTGAAAACGGGTGCGTTTGCGGGAGATTTACGACTGGTTGATCAGCGGGTACGATAGCGGTTAACCCAAAATTTACCAAAATAAATTTAATATATGATTATAAAAAATTATAAAACACCAGAAACTATAGTTATGAAAAGTATAAAATTTTTAAACATGATTAATGATTAAAAACCATAAATAATTATTCATATAAATTTTTATATTGAAAACAAAAATAATTATTTATATTAGAAAATTAAAGTTAAATAATAATTATTTTTTTAGAATTAACGTGAATATAAATCAGACATGATGATATATATTTTAATTTATTTATTTTCTTTTTTTAGTTTTTTTCCTTTTTTAAACCAACCGCAACCGCAAACGCTTGCGGGAAGGAGCTTTTGAAATCCAGCGATTTCGAGCGGTTCGAAGCGGTGTGGAGCGGTTTCTGTGATTGGTACCAACCGCTAGCAACCGCAACCGACCGCTAACAACTGCTAGGCGGGTGCTAGCGGGAGAACCAATCAAGGCCTAAGTAATAAAGAATTTAAACACGTAAGTGAAAAGAAAAAGTAAAAAAAAAAACAAAAGAACCAAAAGTCAGTGTAACTAAACACAAGTTTTGTAAAAAGTCTTTGGCCTAGAAATCTCACATTTTTCTGAAGTGAAATCAGAATCTCTGTAATAAATCATATTTATGGGGGAAAAGTTACTAGTTTATTTTATCTTTGTAAGGAAAAAATTAAAAATAAATGAAAACATATACTAAAAAGAAGTATGGAAGAAAAAAGGAAAAAGAAAACAAAAGGAGGAGGGGACCACATTTCACCAAATATTCGGGGTCTGATCTCAATGCGGATAAGTCTCTGTATTTATGTGTTCTAAAAATAGAGAAACATATATGTTTCATTATTTTCCATTCTCATACTATTATAATCTCAAAAAATTATTCGACATTCTCCACATATCACATATCTATTAGTTTTATATGTTAGTTTCATTAGAATTTTTTCTTATAAATAAAATAGAATGTTTTACTTTCATCTATAAGACTATAATATGATTTTTTTAAAAGTCCTACGATATGATCATATGTATTTTGTAAATTTTTAAGAATTTTTTCAAATATTTAACCAGCAAAAATTTCATTGCGTCTAAAAAGTAGTTTAAATTATGATTTAACTTTTTAATTATAAACAAGTTTTTCAAATTTTCTGTTTACTTAAGGATGTCATAATTGTATATGCATAAAATCATCTATAAATATATCTTTAAGTATTTAATACTGCCAAAAAAGTTTTGAAAAGGAATGCCTCACAAATCACAATATAATCCAATTAGACATTTTCGTCTCTTACGTTCTTGATTTTAAAATATGTATATAGTTTATTTATAATATAATAAATCAAGAAGATCTTTTTGTTTCAAAGACATTTTTAGTGTTAAAACTCACTATTTTCTTCCACAAGTTTACACAAAATAAGTAAATCTGTCCATCATATCTTAAAGTTAATAAGTCAACATGAATTCCTTATACATATATGTTAATTTTTACAAACTTTTACAGTAATAGATATTTTTCATCAAGTAAATTTTTTGGCATTAATAATTTATATCTGAAAATTTCCATTAAACAGTTTTCATAAACTGCTGGTATGTATCTTATCAAGATGTTAATCGGATTTAAATGAAAAACTGAGAGGCATGTGAATAACAGAATAAGCCCATGACGATGCGCCACAAAACTAATCACATTATCTTTGGCTCTATGTGTATATCTGAATTTTAGGTCAATAATGTAAGTAAGACTTTAGGCATGTCAATGTAGATAGGTCTCTTTACCATTAGCCATTAGCTTCGTCATCTTGCAGGTTGGTCCCCAAACATTATTAACACGCTATAACGTAACCCTCTCTCTGTCTTGCTTTAAAACATACATCTACGTTTTTATATTTTTGATTGTAACATAAATGGTGTCAAGAAAATTGAGATCTATCAATATAATGCTATAAGACTAACATTTCTTAAACAATGTTTATCAAGCAGAGTTTATATGTGGTTTCAACATTCAGGATAGAAATCTCCAATCCAAATGTCTAACGATTAATATATCTCCATTGTCTATAAAATATTATTTGCAAATTATTGTATCATGCATGTGTGAAAAGAGCCAATGAGATCCAATAAAGTAATAACACTATCACAAGTTGGTTATGCGTAAATCTTTTATTCGTCTGACTCTCACAAGTCACAAGGCAAAAACTGATCAGGTGATAAAAAGCAACCAGACACTGAAACGAGTATCCTAACTATTCAAATAATTGCGTGGAAGGTTGTTTTCCTAAACGGATGGTTTATCGTTGAAGTAGTATGGTCCTTGTAGAGTAGAAACTATTTTAATTTGCATCATCCAAAATACGTAACATCCAAATATATATACTAAATTGACCAAACAACCATTATCTATTGTAATTTTTTTTTTTTTTTTTTTTTTTTAAAGATCTTACCATTAAAAAGGCCCAAAAGATTGGAAACCTATAAATACACAGTGCCTCCTATAAGAGCAACACCTACAAACACACAAACAAACAAAGAGAAGAGCACATTACTATTGAAACACTTGAAACCATGAAGCAAGGAGCGATAATCTTGGAGGCATAACAGCCTGGGCCCTAGTAAGAGGGTCAAGGTGGCAACAAATTAAGTTTTTAGCTTCGAGAATCAAAACGCAAGGAGGCTTCGAAGTAGACGTGTGTAGTCTCGAGTTCCTTTCCTTCCACACAAGGTACAATGAGGCCTGAAAGGCGAGCTTTAGGATCAGAGAGATGTTCTGGTCAGCCGAGGAATTCATTAGCCAAACCACTGCATCCATAAAGCCCACTGGAGGAGTGACATTAGCCTTATTGGTGAAGTAAGACCACACTTCAGCAGCATAAACACAGTCGAAAAATAGGTGTTGTCTTGATTCGTCCTGAACATTACATAGGAGGCAAACAGATGGCACCACTAGACCCCAGCTAATGAGCCTATCCCTTGTGTGCAACCTATTTCGGGCAGCAATCCAGGCAATAAAAGCATGTTTGGGGACTCTACCTTTGTACCAAATAGAGTCAGCCCAAGGCACTGGAATTCCAGAAGGGTTCAGAAACTCCCATACTTTTGATGCTGAGAAAACATTTGAAGCATCACTGTCCCCAACCTTCCACAAGAACTCATCATCATCATCATCATTCTCCCCAAGAGCATTCACCACTGAAGGTGAAGGAAGACATGCCTGAAGCAGCTGGATGGTACTGTTTCTACTGCGGCTACGAGAGATCCACCACTCTCCATCCCTCACAGCATCAGCAACCACCGCAGTCCTTGGCAGACCAGAAACCCGAGGACCTCTCTCTCCAGTAAGATCAATGATCGGTCCTAAGGCAGTCCAATTCTCATTCCAGAAATTACAAGAGATACCAGAGTTAACTTTGCACACAATAAATGGCCTTGCTAGAGGCCTGAGCTTACATATTGATTTCCAAATCCAACTTCCAGAATTCAAGTAATTCAAATCCCAAAAAAACTGGTTACCAATCAGGTTCCTGCGCACCCACGAAACCCACAAAGACCCACTTGCCGCAAATATTAGCCAAATAAGCTTTAGCCCGAGAACCTTATTCCAAGGAACAAGCCTTCTCAACCCCAGACCACCACAGTTCTTATGAGTACAAACAAATTCCCAAGAGATTTTTGCCCCTCTCGCAGAATTAGGAGCACCATTCCATAGAAACGCATTACACATCCTCTCAATATCCTCAAGACACTTTACAGGAAGAAGGAAGATTGAAGCCCAAAAGGTAATGATAGAATAGATAACTGAGCGAATTAATTGCAGTCTCCCTGCGAATGACAAGTGTCTTACTGTCCAAGCGTTGAAGCGAGAGAGAACCCTATCAATCAACGGTTGATAATCTTGCTTTGTCAGTTTTCTAGATGTCAGAGGCACCCCCAGGTATCTCACCGGGAATGATCCTTGAATAAGCCCCAATCTGTCAGCCATATCTTGATTAATCTGAAGGTTTCCACCATCTAAAAACAGAGCCGTCTTCTCTCTATTGATACCAAGCCCAGAAACAGCTTTAAACTCCTCCAAAATTCGCAGAATTCCCAGAAGAGACTGCTCCGTACCATCAAAGAAAATTAGGACATCATCAGCAAAGCTGAGATGAGTAACAAGAGGCACCAAACACTTAGGGTGGGGTCCAAAACTCTGATCAAGAACTCCTCTATCCAGTTTCTTAGCCAAAACATCCATCGCAAGGACAAATAGTAATGAAGAAATAGGATCTCCCTGTCGCAACCCTTTCTTTCCCTGAAAATACCCAACAAGCTCTCCATTTATAGCAATACTAAAACTAGTAGTAGTGAAGCATTGCTTGAGCCAACCCACAAATTTATCTGGCAGCCCGATGGCATTAAGCACATTTTCCAAGAATTGCCAATTCAGGTTATCATATGCTTTTGCCAAATCCACCTGAAGACAGCCTCTAGAAGTGATTCAAGAAGCATGGAAGTCCGAAACCAACTCAGAAGCAAGCAGTACATTCTCGCATAAATGTCTACCTTGAACAAAGCCCACCTGGCTTCCTTGGACTGCATCAGAGATGAATAACTTGAGTTTATTCTTCAGGAGTCTCGCAATGATCTTGTATACAGTAGTGCAGCAAGATACAGGACGAAATTGGGTTAAAGTATCTGCCCCTTGAACCTTAGGAATCAGAGTAATAGCAGTAGCATTGAAGATCCTTGGTAGATAACCATTCATAAAGAATTCTTGAACTGCCTCCACTGTTTCCTTCCCCACCTGTTCCCAAGATTCCCATAAGAATTCCACTGGAAAACCGTCAGGACCAGGAGCTTTTCTCCGCGGCATAGTAGAAACAGTATCTCTGATTTCTTCCATAGACGGAACCTTCAACAATTGAGAGGCTAAAGAAGAGTCACACCTAAAGGGAAGCAGATTCTTAATATCCTCAACAGAAGGCGGAGTAACTCCTGAGTTTTCTGTGCCAAGGAGATTTTTATAGTAGGAGAGAAGCATATTCTTTATCTGATCTGAATTTTCAATCCTCTCACCATCATCCCCTCTCAGATATTTTATTGAATTTCTCCCCTGGTTAGCAATGACTGATTTAAAGAAAAAAGCAGTGCATGCATCCCCATCCTTAGTCCACCTAATTCTTGACTTCTGCATGTAGAAAGTCTCCTGAGCTTTAGCGAAGAAGTTCCACTTTTTTCTTGCAACAAACTCCTCCCTGAACAAGGAATCAGACGGGTTACTCAACAACTCCTCTTGAACAAGTTCTAACTGAGCCAACGCTTCCTTTGTTTTCTGCTGAATATTTCCAAAGCCCTCCCTATTTAGCTCCCTGCAAGCAGCCTTCACTTTTTTCATTTTCTGCCCAAAGGTAAACAACTTACATCCCACAGACACCTCCTGATGCCAAGCAGTCCGGATAACCTCCTTGTATCTATGGTGAGTAGACAAGAAGGAAAAATATTTGAATGCCTTTTTACTCCTTTCAATAGTGGAACTCAAAGACACTAAAGCTGGGGCATGGTCAGAATCCCCAGGAGGATCAAACACAGCAAGTGACTCTGGGAAAGAATCCCTCCAAGACTCATTCACTACCACTCTGTCAAGTTTCCTTATGATGGGGTCTTCCTGTCTACCATTAGACCAAGTAAAGAAAACTCCTCGACTAGGCAAATCATCCAGTTCATTATCCCCCAAAAAAGTCTGAAGCTCACTCATGCCTGCAAGAGGCAAGTGATGAGGTAAAACCGAGTAATGCTCACTTGCAGTTAATATTTGATTAAAATCCCCCATAACTACCAATGGTCTCTGATTAGCTGGAGAGTTCTGGACAATATTGGTCAGCTCCCTCCATAGATCACGTCTCTCAACCACTGTATTAAAGGCGTACACAAATGCCACAGAAAAACTTTCCCCTGTTGCTGGAACAAACACTCCACACAACATACACTGCGCCGACTTGTGGAAGCAAATTACTGAGATAGCCGGATCCCAAATAACCCAAATTCTTCCATTCTCAGCGAGCTGGTAATTCATCTCCCCTCTCCAACCAGGGAAGGTAGACCGCAAAACCTGACTTGCATTCTCCTCAGAGACATGCGTTTCCAGAATACACCCCAGGGAAGGCCTATTCTTCACTATCCAACTTCTCAAAAAACTCTGGCGAGAGTGGCCATTCAATCCTCTAATATTCCAACAAAAGACCTTCATAATTACAACAAAAGGTGAAGGTAGAGCTATGCTCTTTCTAGTGGTTGGCAGTCCTATTCGAGGAACTTCCACGAATAGGCTGCAGACCTGAGGATACTACTGGCGAGTCAATAGGGGATATACTGGCACTTTTCTTCTTGTAAGGCTCCCTTGCTGGCTTCTTTACAAACATCATCTTTGCCTCTAGCTTTGCAAGCTTCTTCGAGCTTTTCATCCCCGGAATACCTTTATTCAAATCACCAAAAGAATTCTTGTTGTGGCTATTCCCTTTTTTTTCCTTAGCTTTTCCTTTGCCTTTGGATTTCACACCAACAACAGTCCACTCTTGCACAGAGTCATTAAGCACTTCAATCTTTGATTCACCAGACCCGTTCTGAGAATCACTAACCTTCCTCTCCTGACTCTCCTTAATCCACTTTTTCACTAACTCCTGAGTATTAACGGACATCAACTCATCCCGCTTATGAGCCACAACTCTGTCCACATGAGGGTTACTCCTACTCCTCTCCTTAGACTTCCTTCTCGCTGCAGCTCGTGCCTTGGTTCTCTTGTTTGATCTCTTAGAACTCGCTGACAATTGAGACCGATTCTCACCACTAGAATCACCAATCTCTACCGTCTTTAAACTACCACCCTTGTCAGCCAGACAAGTATTAGTGTTTGCAACAGCAGTTCCCTTTGGAGTCAACCCCTTGACTGCATCACTACCCCGTTGTCTTTTCATCAAAGGTTTTGGGCACCGATTTAGCAAGTGTCCAAATCTTAAACAATTGCAACACTTCGGGGGAAGCCTCGGATATGACACCTTCACCTTTACTGAGTTCAATTGATTATCTTTGACGATGATAACCGTCGGAGGAGCAACGTCAAGGGAAATCTCCACTTTCACCTTGGTATTGCCAAAATAGTATGGATCAAGGCGGGATTTTTCGGTGTGAAGAGGCTCTCCTATCGCACTTGCTATAACACTTATTCCATCTAAGGAATACATCTGCGGTGGGACATTCTCCAAGACCGCCCAAGTTGGAGCTGTTTCTAGGTCGTGCATTTCCAAAGAACCATCAGCCGACCACGGATAAACGTTGAAGGCACAATTACCTGCCTGCCAGTATCCCACTTGAAGCACCCATTCCCGAGTAGACAAGCACGGAATCAATATGAGGCATGAAGTATCAGAGACTGCTCGGACGACTATATTACCAAACTTCCCCCAGGCTGGGTTCAAATCCGAGTAAATCTTCGACGAGGGTGGAATTAATCCATGGAACTTAGCCACTATGTGACCCTTCCATTGGTCCGCTGTTCTTAGCAAGACTGAGGCTGGGGCTTGAACAACTGGGGCTCCATCTTCTAGAACCACCGGCGAGTGAATTTTTCTGAGATTCCTTAGCGAAGCCTTGAACCGCTGAGCGTAAGAAGGAGCCGCGGTAGAAGGAATTGCTTCAGGAAGCGAGGACTTGGAATCATGAATCTGAGACACTATAGCAATCGATGAAGGATCCTGAACAGCCGTAGCTGTAGACGAAGAGATCTGAGCTACAGGACCTAGAGGCGGAGAGATCTGAGTAACTGGGGCCGGAGACGAAGAGATCTGAGTCGCTGGAGCTTGAGACGAAGAGATCTGAGGGATTGCAGACGAGGAAGACGAATCCAAGCCGAGAGCAATTTCCACAACCTCACCCGGCGGATCCGGAGGTAACAGCTTCTTGGGGTCGACAATCTTCATAAGACAGAAAGGAATTAGGGGGGAGAAAGAAGAAATTTCTCGGCGATCGACGTGAGGCCGATCTCCGGCGGAGATCTGTGAAGAAACCACAAATCGCCTAAAAGCTCTCAGGCACGACTACCGAGAAGCTCTCTTTGTCTATTGTAATTTTACTTCATTGTAAATTTTACTTCCTTATATTCGAACGCAAAAACGAACAAAACATTTTATAAATTCATAAAATGGCATAATAGTTTTTTCATAATTTGGTTTCCTAATTGTATCAATCATACAACTGCCGTAATGGTTTTTTATTCTAATGTTTTTGAATTATTTTGATAATGTTTAATTGTATCAAGTTCTTTAGCAAAAAAATAATATCATGTAAGTTTATTTAACTATAATATATTATTTAGAGCGATAATAATGTTGTTGAATTATAGTTGGTAATGTTATATTATATATATATATATATATATTGCAAAATAAAGGAATAATTGATTTTTTTCTTTTTTCTAAAATAAATTTCTACTCCTAGAAATAATGTCAAACCCCGGAAAGAGACTGGGATAGTATTGAGAAAAGGAAAGAGGCCCCCACAACCTCAGAAATTATTGTAACCGACCCTAGCCATTTTATGCAACCTATATTATTGCAATTTAAAATCTAAAATATGTAAAACTTGTGTGTTCCTAAAAATATGAATGATATTTTTTGTAAAGTTGTAATATAACATCAATAATAATAAAAAGTATATATATATATATATATGTCTCATAAAGGATTACAATGTCCCACAACAATGATTGTGAATGCATTTACATATTGGTTTGGTTTAACCGTTTTAAATCACAACAACATCTTTACGGAAACAAAGTTAGGTCCATATAAAAAGTTGGTCTCGGCTTCGACTAAAATAAAGCAAACACAAGTTTTGATTTTTCAAAAAACAAAACTTCATCTTTTCATTTCAAAAGTCTAACAGAACATTGCATTATGTCTTTATCGAACAAACCAATTTTTTCTAATCTAGTTTGATTTAGTTTTAAATAAGAGAACTCGTCCATATATATACAACTAGGGGTGTCAAAATGGGTCAAGATTCATGGGTCAACTCAACTCAACTCAACCCATGAACCCTAATGAGTTGAAAATTTTGACTCAAATGAGTTGATGGATCAAATGAGTTATTGAGTCAAATGGATTGATGGATGAAATGAGTTGGGTTCTAATGAGTCAATGGTTTCAATGGTTTACCCATTTAACCCATCAATTTTTGTGAAATTGAATTAAACCAATTCAAATCTCTAAACCGATTTCAATTTGAGTTTAACCAAACTTCTAAACCGATTGAATATAATCCTTAATTTCCCACCAAAAATGTGAATACACAATTTTCCCGCCAAAAATATAAATTCGTGATTTTCCCGCCAAAAAATTTTACAATTCTTAACCAAAAATGAGAATGGATAATTTTCTCGCTAAAACGTAAATCTGTGATTTTCCCGCCAAAACGGAAATTTATGATTTTCCCGCCAAAAACGGAAATTCGTGATTTTTCCGTCAAAACGTAAATTTGTGATTTTCCCGTCAAAAACGTAAATCCGTGATTTTCCCGCCAAAACGTAAATTCATGATTTTCCCGCCAAAAACGGAAATCTGTGATTTTCCCGCCAAAAACGTAAATTCATGATTTTCCCGCCAAAAACGAAAACCTGTCATTTTTTCGCCAAAAACGTAAATCTGTGATTTTCCCGCCAAAACGGAAATTCATGATTTTCACGCCAAAAACGTAAATTCATGATTTTCCCGCCAAAAACGAAAATCAGTGATTTTCCCGCCAAAAACGTAAATCTGTGATTTTCCCGCCAAAAACGTAAATCCGTGATTTTCCCGCCAAAACGGAAATTCATGATTTTCCCGCCAAAAAGGGAAACCTGTCATTTTCCCGCCAAAAACGTAAATCCGTGATTTTCCTGCCAAAAACGTAAATCCGTGATTTTCCCGCCAAAAACGTAAATCCGTGATTTTCCCGCCAAAAACGTAAATCCGTGATTTTCCCGCCAAAAACGTAAATCCGTGATTTTCCCGCCAAAAACGTAAATCCGTAATTTATTCTTCAAAGAGTAATTCCGTGATTTTTCCACCAAATAATAGTAATTATTATTATTATTATTATTATTTTACTTTAATTATTAATTTATTTTAATTATTAATTTATTTATTACATTAATGGGTCAACCCTATTAACCATCTAACCCATCAAATTAAATGAGTTCATGGGTTGACTCAACTCATTTAGCCAAATGAGTTGAGTCAACCCATGAACTCATTTAACTCCAAACTCATTGGGTAATGAGTTGAGTTGGGTTGGGTTAACCATTTTGACACCCCTATATACAACTATGGAACATAAGTTAAAAATACACACATATATATAATATATATAATAATATATATATTTGAACATATACATATATATACATTACTTTATTAGCAATCCAATTTTTTGTTTTTAATGCATATTTCTTACTGATTTTTGTAATCTGAATTCAAGTTTTGGATCTACTACATTATAGCTACACTATTTATTTATATGTAGCCAAATCACACACGAAAATATTTATTTCACTGACATAAATAATTATATCAAGACTACAGAAAATAAATATATACAGTAATTAAAAGAAAAGTAAATACAAAAGAGAATATTACACTGTTCAAGTGGACAGCTTCTTGCACTCCAAGATGCCACAGACTTCTTCTTTCTTCTGGGAATGCTATCGTCATCGGAAAATAATTAAAAATAAATTCTGATAAACTACTTTATCCTTATTATTTTTTTAATTACTGACTTCCATAAATACATTGTGGTAAATTGCTTGTAGTGATTTATGAAAAAGTTAAAGTTGTCATAAATTTTCTGTTCCTTTTGCGCCAACATATTTTTAAACAGAGTCGCAGTAAAAAAAAAGTTATAAACAATTTTCAAGAAAGTAATAACTGAAACATTAATTGCACATTCTCAGAATTGCTACAAGAATTTTACCAAGATAAGACTAGTATCCGACTATCCGGTAATAACATGTCTCTGTTACTTTTACTGTTTTACATAGCAAACATTAGTAACTAAAATAATAACCTCTTGAAAATTGGGTAAACAAAAAAAGTAAGAGGTCAAAAAAGAAGAAAAATAGTCTAATACTCTAATGCTCTATATATATTTTTTTTATATGCTTTTCTCCCGATTTTTTTTTTTTTGTTTTTCAACTTTTCTCAGATTTTTTTTTTAACTTTTTAACTCGAAAATTAGCAAAATTAGCAAAATTCTTTTTCTTTTACGGATTTTCTTTGAACAGTAAAGCTAATCCCGTGACGACCTTTGCTTCTCTCTTAACCGGTTCTGCCACGTCATCATCATCTCTACCAACAGACGTAATCGAAGAAGACGACTTCAACGGCGGCGACAAGAATTTCTCCTCAAAAATCAGCTCCGGTTCAGCTAAGGCGGTCGCGGTTATAGTAACCATCGGCTTTTCACCGGAGTTTCGAGTATATGAAGAAAGCCATTTAGCTCTCATGTAATCAGCTTTTCTCCATGGCGGGAAATGCATACCATTCTTCTTCAAGCTCTGTTTCGCTGCTTCAGACACCATAGAAACAATCTGACGAATCCGATCAGATTTTCCGACGAAAATCAACGGTAGAGATTGAAGCAACTCCTTGTAACCACTCGTTTGCCTTGCGATCTCAAACTCCGATCTAAAATCAACGTCGATTAAAAACCTTTCTCCGTTCACAATCACATCTATGTACTCATACTCACCTGAAAAATCATCAAAAATTAAATTACACGAAAAATCATAAAAATCAAAGGTAGAAGAAGAAGAAAAACCCGGTTAAGGAGATTATACCGGCCGGTATAGAGCGAGATTTATCCCATTTCGATTTACAAATTGAAGAATCGTAACCGAGAATTGAGAGTTCATCAACAACAATCTTTCTCAATTCGTCTTTTCTTTTGACTGATTTGTTCTTCTCTATAATCTTCGTAGCTTCCACTAACAGATTCTTCTCAACGAAGCTTCCACATTGAATCAAACTCTGTAATCAAAAGATTTTAGATTGTTGCAGAGATTTAAAACAAAGAGAATTTTTTTTTTTTTTTGTTACCTTGAAATGGTCATAATCGAAGAAATCGAGTTCATCGTCGGAGATATCATTGTTCACGTTAAAACAATTACAACGATGATTATTGCGACCACCATTCTTTGTTTGCTTGTCGTTGTTTTCTTCCATATAGCTTTGAACCATTTTCGCTAAGCTTGGCTCGAACTCTGTTCCGGAGACGACTCCATCTCCGGCAATGAGTAATTTCTCTGAGTTTGAGATTCTTGTGAACGGTCGATCTAAGAGACGTTTGAGACGAGACTTGAGCACTGGTTTGGTTGATGATTCTACTCTATTCGCCGGAAAATCGTTGTTAATCGGCTGAATCTTCATCATCGGAATCAGAAACAGAACAAAATCGTCGAAAAACTATACGATCTTCACAAAAACAAAGAAAAAAAAGAAATCTAAGAGACGGATTAGAGTTTCTTAACGCTGACGATTTTCACGGAAAACATGACGGCGATTGTCGGAAACAGCGTTTCTAGACACGGAAGAGAAAGTCACCGGAATATTCATTTTTCCGGCGATTGAGTAAGGTTTTGTTGAAAATCTAAGAGTTATTTTTTTTTATGAGAAATAAGTTTTTTTGTTTCTTTTGGTTTGAGGTTAAAATGAGATTGGTTGATTTTATAGGTGCAGTGATAGCTGAAGCTGAAGAGGTTGAAGAAGAAGCTGACTAGACACGATGATGCCACGTCATATATGTTACGTGATTATATATTTACGTGCTGGTGAAAATTACCGTTTAACCCTCTTAGTGGGACGGTGTGGTTTGTTTTTTTGGTTATTACTGATTTACTGTATTACTTTCCAAATTTTTTTTACTTTTTTATGATCATAGACTCATAGTAGTAATTGTGGTAGATTCTTTTTATGGGAAAAAAACTGTCAGTGAAATTTGTAATAATGAATATTATTACGGTTTTGTCCTTTTTCCACAGCTTCCACTACTGTGGCGTGGAAGATCGGGCATATCTCTTTCTCAGTCATCATCGGGATTTTCGGAATTATTTATTTTTATTGAGTTGATGTAATTGAAAAGGATTAAATAATAGGGTAAATAAAATAAAAGTCACAGCTATTTTTCGCAGGAAAATTAGATGACGTTTTGCGAATAAGAGTGGACCACGTAGCAGGAAGTCGATCTTTTTACTCCATTGTTCTTGAATTGCAATTGAATTTGCTTATAATAAGTTGTTGGACGATCGATTCAGTGTAAATTAAAAATGAATAAAAGAGGTTGCATGGGTTCCTGTTGTTGGTCGATTTGGGAATTGGAATTTTTTTTCTTCATAAGACTATTAGTTTATGAAAAAAATTAAAATGTCAAACGAAAAATGAAGAGTTTTACTTTAAAAAAAAAACTTGAATAGAATGAGTTTTAAGAATAAAAACCATTAACATTTGATAATAAGGGTTAAGGGAGGCCAGTGGCCTTTAGTAGATTCTGTTCGGTTGGGGTAAAACTTGGAAGCTGAATATAATTTTTACTAAATTTAACCTAACTAAAATTTTGATTTTCATAATTCTTAAAATTCGGTTTGGGTCTGGTTAAATAATTGTTGTCGAATAGAAGAAATTGAAATGCTTAAACATCCGATTCATGTTAATGACATCATGTTATCTTCAAACATTTAACTTTAGTAGTAACGGGCACTCACAAAACACTAACAATTGGGCCTACTAACAATAACTAAAGACCGGGCCTTCAAAATTTGACAGTTTAGGTGACTTTGTTCTATTCATATAAACGAAAAATAAGTAACAATAGAAAAGTAAAAAGTAACAAAAAAAAAAAAAAGTAATTGCATAAAAACAAACAAAATACATAAAATAATTAAAAACGAATGGAAAAATGTCATAAAAAGCGTCTGTTTGGTTAAAAAAACCTCAAATTTGCATCTGATGAAATATATATCGAATTTTTTTGTATTTTTTATATTAAATTATAAATTCTTTACATAACAAATAAACCAGATGACATTTTCAATTGTAAGCTTCTGTTAATTAGCAAAACAACGTCGAATGAAAACAGATTTAAGATTTTATTTGGGAAATTTGGAGAATAGAAATCAATTTGGAGATTTTCAAACGATGTTATTTTGTCCATAAACGAAAGCTCATTAATAGCATCGAAACACAATATGTTTTTCTGATTTTTACTTAGTGTTGTGCATAAATTGGTAAAGTCAACAAAAATTTACGATTTTCGGATAAATCAATAGAAATTGGTTATTTATTTCACTAAATACAAAGTCTATATTTTTTTCCAACAAAAACTTAACTGTTCTAATGATATTTTTCCCAAAAAAGAATGATAGTATTAAAATTGAAGACACGTATATAGGAGTCAAGTAGAATAGAAGTGGTAAGAAGAAGATGAGCCTTCAAGTGGAAAAGAAGTTGTAACTTGTAAGAAGAAGATGAGTCTTCGTTTTGTATGTATGTCCGTAACTAACCCGGCCTGCTCGTGAATTTAAGAACACAACCAATGCTCTCTCCTTTAGTTCCCCTCTTGGAAAGGCTGGCTATACCATACATTTATTTATTTTTTCCTTATCCCCATTACTATTTTTTTCCAACAACATTAAATTAATTGAATGTTTGACAAAGTCAAATCGAGAAAACAATATTCACAGCCATAATCTGCACTTTATTCACTAGAGAAATCTTTGTCTTGGCCTCTTTGGTAACTAGTCTGATTTCAATCGGTCGGTGGAACCTTTAACAAAAATAAAATTGATCAAAAAACTCATTTGTACTCAAGGATATGTTTGTAGAACTTCAGTGGATTACAACTTACAAGAGCTACAATTTTGAAACTACAAAACTTCGGTGAAATAGTAACAGAAGAGCTGAAATTAGAGATGTCAATTCGGCTGTGTAGGTCTAAATGGGCAATGTTTTAATGGACAGATTCGTTTTCTCGACATTAATGGCCAAAGTCCAAATAGAATCATGCCCATATTGGACCAAACTCAAATAGAACTATGACCAACTAGGCTGTCTACGGAATCCAGATAATATGATTTCTATTTTTCGCCAAAATCACAAAATTACATTTTCCTACCAAAATTATAAAATATTTTTTTCCGTAAAAACCAGTCACGTTTTGGGGTGAAATCGTTACTGAGAGAATAAAAATTACGAGGAATAAGTAATTCACCCAAATTAGTAATCCTAATTTTTAAAGCTTATTAGACGGTCATGTCCAAATGAGTTCACCATATTTATTTGTTGATTAACTTGATTTCTAACCTATGTTGACCGTTTCGATTTTGAGTGTACCATAACCGGACTAATATAATTTGAACTGGTGCCCATGGTCATCGGACCCATTAAACATCCCTAACTAGAATGTACAAAGTACAAACCGTACATGAGCTAGTCGTTGTGGTGAAGGAAAGAAAAAAAAGCCAAATTTTGTTTTGATATAAATCTGATAGTCGTTTTTGCATATCTTGTAGGGACATGAGATATGATATTGAGTTCTTTAAGTTATCAAAACAAAGATATGATGTTAGTAATATTAATATAAAATCAAAATCTTTCAATGAAACTTCACATTATATTCTTTACGCTACTTAACACATAAGTGACATTAAACTTCACATAATCTTCTTTTACGCGTTTCCTTATCTCTCTACAAAAGTAGGATATTCTTCCGTGACAATTAATAGCTCGCTCAACTCGGTTCAGCTCATGATGAGTTAGGACATTTTATGAGCTAGCTCAACTCAGCTCATTTATTAGATGAGCTTCAATATATAAACTCATCATCTTGGTCGCGAGTTAAATGAGCTAGCTCGCGAGCTCATAACAAATAAATATAATAACAAAAATAATGTAAAATGTTTTTTAAAAAAATTAAAATAAATCCAATAACATAATTAATCCTAAAGATAAATAATGGAAATAAATCCAAGAAAAAAATAATCTCAAAACACCAAATAAAAAAAATCAAATAATAAATCCTAAGAATTAAATTAAATTAATTAAATATAATAGAAATATGGAATGATCAAGAATCTATTCCGTGTGAGAGTCTTGCTCTTGATATTATTTCTATATTATTGATATTATCTTCTAAAATTAATATGTAAGAAACACAAATTTTCTAATAGAATATAGTAGAACCTCTATAAATTAATACTCGATAAATTAATAAACACGATAAATTAATAAATTTGGTCGGTCCCGAGTCGGACCAGTGCAAAAATTAACCAAATTCGATAATAAGTTTTTTGAAATTCCTATGTAAAAATATAGTCCTAATAATATCATAAATTAATAATCATGTAAATTTACATATATATATATATATATATAATAGTTTTAGTATCTTTCATAAAAAATAGCCAAACGTTTTTGTAAGTTTTCAAATTTTGAATATGCATAATTTTTTTTAATAGTTGTATAGGTTTTAAAATACAACAATGGATGTCACTATTTGTGAATTTTAATTTATGTATATTGTTTGTATTTGTGAATTCTATAATCGTTGTTATTCATTGTCAAAATAAATTATTTTCTCTTCGAAATATGAAGTGTTTAAGGCTAAAACTATAAAATTTATAACATCCAAAACATTAATTTTATTTAGATCACATTGTTTTAGCTCGTATTTTTTTAAAAAAAGTTTTCACAATTGAAATAAAACTTTCTATAAATTAATAAATACTAATTTATTAATTTATAGATAAATTAATATCACCATTAATTAATAAAATATCATGATCCCAACATTATTAATTTATAGAGGTTTTACTGTAATTCTATTTTTGTTTAACTTAAATGGAAAAGTTATATATACTTCTGTTGTACATTTTGTATATATATTTTTTAAAAAGCCGAGCTCATGAGCTAGCTCATGTTCATTAAAGCTTTCTCATATAACTCGCGATCTTAAAAAATTTCGATCACATAACTCATTTATTAAATGAGACTAAAAATAGAGCTCGTGCTCATGAAAAATCGAGCTGAGCTGAGCCAACTCATGAGTTGCGAGCTCATTTTGACACCCTACTTCCAATGATCAGTTCTCAGTGCCGGTTTAAACATTTAATAGACCCTTGGACAAAATTTTCATTAACATTTTAATATATAAATTGATATGGTTATGTTTTATTGCTTAACGAATCAAGCAACCCAAAAACCATCAAATTCACATTAGACATTGGTCAAGGACTCTCAATGTCAACTCTAAAAGACTAAAACTCATGCAAATAAATTAATCAAAATCATCAGGTATAGTTCATGAAAACCTGAGAAACAATCATTATTGTATAAACCTCTTGTAGTATAAGTAACTTATATAACTCTATCATCGCCGACACTTGACATTTTAAATTTCAAGTGCATCCTTTTTCAGTTGAAGATCTTTTGTGTGTTTAATTAAGATACTACTAACGTAAACATGGTAACAAGATAATGATTTAAATAACTCCTTACATAATACGACTTGATGCAACATGGTTTAATTAAAGGTTTACCATTTCAAACTTCTAGATAATGAAAGCTACATTTAACATGGTAACTATACAATAATTTAAATAATTCTCAATATAATATGACCTGAGAGAACACGGTTTCAATAACATT